GCGCCGCCGCACTCACCCGGGCCGGCCGCGCTCTCCGCCCTGCCTTCCTGTGCGCTCCCTCAGGATTCCCCCGCTCGGAAACCGCTGCCGCCGCCCTCGGGTTCCGTCGCGGATCCCGGCCGCCAGGGGAGGGCGCGGTCTGCAGGGGCCGCCGCCTGGGGACTGACCCCATTTCGTTCACTCATCCTTTCATCCATTCATCCTTTCATCCATCCATCTATCGCTCGACACTATTTTCTGGAAAGCCTACCAAGGCAAACAGTGTTTTAGGACCTGGCACTAAATCGGAAAATCACTGCATGAATAGGGCAATTTTAGGTAGTGATAAGTACCACGAAGAAAACAAACGGGTGATGTAAGGGAGCGGGGTCGGGGAGAACTACTTTAAATTAGGCAGGCTAAGCTAGGCCTCTCTGAGTAAGGGGCAATTAATCTGAGAACTGAAGGCCAGAAGGAGCCGGTCTAGCCAAGATGCAGAGGAAGAGAGACCCTAGGGGGCCTGAGGCGGCCTGGCAGGTCAGGTGGTGAAGTGGAGGAGGAGCAGGTGGTGGCCGTGAGGCTGGAGAGGTGGGCGAGACAGGCCCTGGTGGTGAGGAGGTCAGACATTACACCAAATGAGATGGGGAGGCGTTGAGGGGATTCGGTCAGGGGAGGATGTGATCAGGGTTGCGTTTTAAACATCTCTCTGGCCACAGTGTAGTGAAGGGATTCTACAAAGTAAGAGGGCTACAGAGAAGCCAGGCCAATGCTGACCACCAGATAGCAGTTCTCGTTCTCTGTCCTCCTCCCACCAGCCCCGCTACCCCACAACTGGTGTGAGGACCAAGCCAGTCAATCCAGGTTTCTTTCTGACCTTCTGCCTTCCATCGTTGTGTAAGCTGACATGTGCTGAGGGTTGAGTATGGCCAGGCCCTGGGATGCTCCCGTGTACAGCACTCCTCCTGGTTCCTGCCCTCAGAGAGCTTGTCACTTCGGTTCCCCATCGCCCCCAGACAAGTGTTTTAAGAAAAATGAGAACATCCAATGGCCTTATGGGGCAGTAAAGCATCCTCTGCCAGGTTCTAACCCTCACTGGGCCCACTAGAGAGTAGTGTCAGCTTCCTAGCCCCCTCTCCTGAACCTCCACCTGTAAATTAGGAGACTGAGAAGATCATCATAAAAAATCTCTTCTAGCTATAAAATGTTGTGGTATTGAAGGTATGGGAGACAGTTATTTTCATCTCTCCTTCTCCCACTATCTAAAACATTAGTGTTTGAAAATGAGTTCCTAACTCATTTTCTCACCTGCAGGCTGGAAAACTCTGAGAATTGATGCTGGATGGTTCAATGAGCAGACTAAGCTTTAGGGCTTCAGCAAAACAGTGGTTCCCCAAAATGAGAAAAGTTCAGCTTGGGTGAACTTTTCCATCATTTTCCAATCAGAAATCCCAGGAAGAAGCTTTTTCTTAAAACTTCCACATATACGTATGCTTTTTGTTGTGGTTATTGTTTTAGGGCTGGTTTTGTTTTTGCCTTGGGTTATATATCAACAGGAAGCTCGATACTCATTTCTGTTTTTAGGGCCTCTGAAGACCAGAATCCAGTCTTGCTGGGACATCTGCGTCACATGTGGGTGAGTTTGACCACACAGAACGTGCTCATGTGGGTATGTTTGCCTCTGAGTGCCCCCGTGAGTACAGCTGTGCAGGCATGGCCATGGATCCATGCATATGCTATGGATGGTTTTGTGGCAGTGAGAAGAGGCAGGCATCTATGCTCTGTGACTTATTGGCTCAGTTGAATCACAACACAGTACTGCCCAGGCTGAAGATGTGCACTTCATGCAGTCTTCACGCTGCCACTTAGCGGGTACTGTAGGGGGGCACAGCTCAGCAGTTAAGCAACACCTTTGGAACTGGCCGCCGGGATTGGAATTCCACTTCTGCAGTGTACTAGCTGAGGGAGCTGAGCAATACATTTAATTTCTTTGTACCTCAATTTCTATAATGATGATGATAACAACAGTATCTACCTCACTGGATTGTCATGAGGATTAAATGAGTCCATGCATGTAAAGCATTTAGAAGAGTGCATAGAACATAGTTAACATTCAATAAATATCAGTTTTTATTTTTTCTGTGGTTGCTGCCTAAACCTCAAGCAACTACCAGTTAACCAGAAAATCCCGGGGATCCAATAGGTACCTTGGAAGAAAGAATATGTGTTTGGCAAAACTGAGATAAGCTGCTCAGAGTATCTAGCCATCTTTGTACGTGGATGCTGGTGGGCCAGGGCAAGAATTCTAAGGACTGCCTCCTCCCCTGCCCAGTCCCAGCATCATTGAAGACAGTGATTCTTCATACACGAGACATGAGCCTTAACTCACAGAGGGATGATGGCAAAGAACCAGGGCTGGGGTGAGCTTTCAGTTACCCTATTTAAAACTGAGGTCACAGCAAACGACTCTCCCACAGCTCCAGGAAGAGAGTGTGAGTGCCCCACCAGAGGGTAACATCTGGATGTAGTTGAGCTGTGGGGAAAGAAACCCTGATTTTATGTGAATTGGAGTCACATACTGTTGAAAAGATCAGGCATCACAAGGCAGATGCCCAGAACCCCAGGAAGAGAAGTGGCAGGCTGTGCTACCAGGGAGAAACAGCAGCCAGGGAGAGAGGCAGCCCCTCCCTCGGAGGGCGAACGCGGGCATGTGGAGGGTCGTGTGTGGCAAAGCAGGCTGATTAGATGGTCACTAATCGAGGAGTGCTCATGGGGCTATGGGGGAAGGTTTGTTAGTTTTCTTTACTTTATTTCTTTAATATGAAGGCTTTAATTCATTGTGGCCAGTGTGGTTGTGAATGGGGACATTGGTGTCAGCCTGTTGTGTTCCCAACAGAGAAACTGGGGAACAACTCCCAGGTTTCTATATAGATGATCAGACTAGAAAAAATGAGACATCTCCACAAAATTAAAGCCTCAGATCTACATATGCAAAGGAGAGGAGTGTAGCAGTGGTGGGGGGTGTGGCCGCTCTCTGAGAGAGACCTCCGTGTTCCTGCCTTACGTTTCGTGTTTGTATAAATAGAAACAGTAGGTCATACAGCTCAGATATGTCAGCTGCAAATGTGAAATATCTGCGTCAAAACAGGAACGAGTTGTAAATTCATCTCTGAGGAGTTAACTGTTGCCATTACATGACACCTGTATTTACTGATATATTAGTGCATTATTGTAGCATCTCACTTATTTATGAAGTTATATAATTCATACTATTAATATTTTTCCTATAGTAACTGCTCCACTTTGGTTAAGCTAACGATTGCCACCTCAAATCCTTCCTAGAGGGACACAGTTATAAATAAATAAGTTAAGGATTGTCCATGCTTTACAGAACTTAACCTCCCACCCCACCCCCACTCCAAGGGGGACTATAGTGAGAGCCACATCTTCAACATGTAGCTCATAAGTGCGAAAGGACACAAATGACACTAAGCAATGGGACCTCTCCAAAGCTCTTTTCAGGCATCATTACCAGGGTTGAGTGGTGGACGTGGAGATGCCCCACCTGTTGTCCCAGGTGTGGAGCGCTGTGGGCAGGCTGCCTTCAGCTGTCAGTCCCTCAGGGACAGCCTCCGATGCAGTGAGCCATCTGAACTGGTGTCATGCCCACTGGAGGTGGCCCACATCTCATGACTGGTCTAGGAGGGAGTTCAAAAGCTTGGTCATTTCAGCCCAAAACAAAACACCTCTGAGAGGTCATTCTAGCCCCAGAGCTCCTCGCTGGGTCAGCTGAGGCTATCAGCCTCAGAGCCTCAGAGCTCAGCTTCTCCCTCTGCCCAATCCTGCTTCCTTCTCGCCCTTTTTCACAGGCATTGATTCTGAACACTGAACACCGTGTGGTACACAGAATAATGACCCCCCAAGATGTCCGTGTCTTAATCCCTGGACCTATCAATACTTTGCAGGTGTGATTAAGGTAAGGCTCTTGAGATGGGAAGAGTATCCTGGATTATCCAGGTGGGCCCAATGTATCACAAGGGTCCTTATAAGAAGGAAATTAGAGAGAAAGAGAGATGTTACACTGCTGGCTTTGAAGATGGAGGAAGGAGCCCTGAGCCAAGGAATGTAGGCAATCTCTAGAATCTGGAAAAGGCAAGGAAACAGATTCTCCCCCAGAGCTAGAAGAAACACAACCCTGTGTTCCTTTAGACTTTTAGACTTCTGACCTCTAGAACTGTAAGATAATAAATTTGTGTTGTTTTAAACTGCTAAGTTCATGGTAATTTGTTACATCAGCAATAGGAGACTAATACACACTGTCTTAGATATGCTTCCTGGAAAATCCAACCCATGATACGTTGATATTTCAATACTTTCAGTGAATCAGTATTAAAACCAAATTATTTTTCTGCCTGCCATTTTGTTTGTATAGGGCCATTTGTGCAATCCCTAACTCACCGCCACTGAAAACCTGAAGTGGCCCCATTCTCCCTCTCTGTCCCTCCAAATCACACTCTTCCTGCAGGGCTCACCTCCAGGCAGCCTTTCCTGATAGCTACACCCTTGCTGATCTTCTTTCTTGAATAATAGTAATGTTTTTAGTCTGCATCCCTCACTTCAGCCACTAATCATGTATTTCTATGGGAAGCCTGGGGATATCAAAGATAATGAAGGAATCTCTGCATGCTCTCCTGCAGGTAGAGGTATAGGTCGGAGTTTTTAGAGACCAATACCAACTCTACTCTCTTCCTAATTCTATTTTACTAGCATGTACACAGATCCCAAAATAATAGGCTCAACAGCTAGCCAGCCTTGAATGGTTTCCTGCAGCCCAGCAGAAACTTGACTCTCTGGCTTGGGAAGCCTAAGACCTTCTGTTAGTCAAGGACTGAAGTCTAGTTCCCTCTCATAGTCAAGGAAGGTCCCAGAAAGCTTCCTCTGCTGAGCCATGATGAGCATCTCTAATGCCGCAGAAGGAAACTCAGGCACCATGGCCCTTAGATGCCTGGAGCAGCCACTTGGGCAGAATCCCTGAGGCTCAGTAGCACATTCATATCATAGATAAGGCCAAAGAAATATCTGAT